CCATTGTTGCTGCAGGCGAACAATAACAGAGCAATATAAAAGGGGCGGGAGGCGGGACAGCGTGCCACTGAAAAAGGTTAACAAAATAATAACAAACAAATGAGCAGTGTTCAGAAAGACGTCGACAGAGCAGTTGCTGCGCAGTCGCCACCTGCCTCAAAAGCAGCGGCGCATGCGCTCAATATTTTTCAGCTTTTCAGTCAATGGCGAGACGTAAAAGCGGCAACAACCGAGAAAACCGGTGAAAAGCAAAAAGTGGTTGAAAATTATATGGCAGCAAAAATAGCAATAGCAAAATCGCGCGCGTTTTTCTCTTTTTTTATCTATTGCTTTTTGGCCATTTCATGGACAATAAACTCATTTTGCATTAACCACAAAAATCAACAAACTGTGCAAAGGCGGCGCCATCAGTAGAAAGCATTCAACTGGGTTAAAATGGGATGTGGCAAAAAGCAAAGAAGATGAATGTTTATTTTCACAGTGAAGATGTGACCCACAAAACCCAAAGTAACATCAATATTTGCGATAAATGGAAGACAACCTCATCATTAGCATTTACACAACAGCCCCCAGGAATCAATGCATGGCCCATTAATCTAAACGCATTAATGATTTAGGGAATTCATTTGTCATTTCGGTAAGATTCTATCGACCTGAGTTTGGGAAAATTAACCATTAATTGCGGTAAATCTGGGGATAAACTCGTAGATTAAATCAGCAATATGTCGGATCAGGTCTTGACTTCAACTTGAACATGGGTTTCTAAGTGGTTAATGAACTAAACTTTATGTTTAATTTAATAGATGGCTTGAATTGGATATATAAAATAGTAGTTTCCATAATAATAAACAATTTAAATAAACAAACTAAATAAACTAAATAACAATCAATGCTTTTATCACGACGTTTAATAAATTAAGATAAATTATATTATTCCTTGTCACAATTTTGCTGCTAAATTGGAGCATTAATAATTGGAGTAAATAAACTGGAAGAATCAACCCCACCTATTTATCAAGTTGTTTAGAAACCATTAATTTTGGTCAAATATACCCCTCAGCAAAATGTTCTTATAGCGTAAGTTTCCACTTTAGATGATTGAGTGTCCTGCGACAAATGGGGATACTTGTTTGTCCGCTCATTGACAGAGCCGGCAGCCAAGTTTGGCTTAATTTATGTCCCCCGTCGCATTGAAAGAGGAGTTCGCGTGCAAAGGCTGAAATGCAATTTGTGGGCAACCGCAGCTACAGCAGTAGAAAATTGATTTAGCATTTATTTCCAACTCCCCTGACCTACACAGCGATTTTGAGCAGCGATGTTGCGGCAAGCGAAAATTGTCGGAAAATGTCATTTGAAATGTCGCCGTCTGGCAACAATTTCGACAGGCTTTTTCGGTACATTCACAATGGATGAACTGATTCAGATCGAGTCTTGAACAATACGCTCTGATTATTCCAGTTCTTTTATTTTATATTAATTCTATTTTGCACAATTGAAAACCCATTGTCTGGCCGTGTGATAATGCCGATTGCAAATGATTTTATATGCCTATTTTTATTCGAGTTTATGCTCCGGTGGCTGTGTTTGGCTGCTTTTCATGTAAATCGCTGTATGGCGGTTTGCCTCTTTGCTTATTTTTCACCCAATAGATATCTGTGTTAATTAATTTGGCGCTGTCATGCGAGTTTTGCCATTTTCATTTTGGCACGAACGTGTTTATTTCACTGCAATTTCTTTTTTGTTGTGGTATAATTTAATTAGCTGCTCTTAATATATTTAAAGGCCTTAACTTCTTTGTATCGATATTACCAGCTTTTACCATATTAATGTTTTTTTTTGAGATGAGCTAAATAATTTGTAGAGCTTTTTTCATTATTTATTTAAGACCGATTAACTAGCCACTTCATTATTTTATTTGAGCAAACAGCGGGTTGAAAATCGTTTGCTAATCGCACGCAAATCGTATTTAGCTTTTCTCGCTGTTTTCATTTATTGTTGCCCTTGGACATATGTTCGAGAAAAGTGAGAAATTTAATGCGGCGCGTGTCACAATAAAATCAAGTTTAAAACGAAACAAAAAGCAAACACGTGACTGGGAAGCCAAACCGAATTTGTAATTTGTGTTTGTGCGAGAACAGAGAAACCGAGTGGCAGTATGGCAGAATGTTTATAAACCCCGCTGTCAGTCATAAAATGGCATTAAAAGCAATTAGCAAGTTGCTTTATATTCTGCTCCGAACGAACATATTGCCCGGGGTAATTAAAATCCAAAACTCTTGAGGCAAAACAATTGGAAGGAAACGAAAGCGGTGAAACGGCAAAACGGGGAAACGACGCGTCGAAACTAAAAATAAAAGAAGTGAGATATTATCGGTTGAAACAATTTTGTTCAGGAACACGCAAATAAACTATTTGCAGGAATACCTCTGCACAAGTGTTGACATCCGCGTAATTAACTTTTAAGTGAAATACAAAATGTGCTACGAAATGGCTAAAGCCGTTGTGAAAAAGAGCATTCCCATTAACCTTTGACCCCTCCTCAATGTGTGTGAGCCCCCAGATGTAGGCTAGCCAAAAACGTAATGGAAATGAGGTCAGGCCAATGCTAAGCAGTTGGCAGAGAAGAGCGCTCAGCACTTTCTGGCTCTTTATTTTTTTATTTTTATTTTATGTCAGCTGCTCGGTCCATAAACTCAGGCGCCGCTGTGAAATGTTGGGAGAACAAGGACAAACGGCAGGAGAGCCGACTGCAGTCGCCAGGATGTCGCCTCTCATCCCCATGACGAGGCCTGAATCCCCTCCCCCAGTTAAACATTAGTTGGCAACATTTGCAATTGTAATGACTCGCATCTAAAATGCAACCATTCGGTAAAATGTGTTGAGCTGGCATCTCCACCTTCTACACCACCTTTCCAAAGGACCCACAGGCTCCACAATGAGCAGTCGTCGAGACAGCTGCAATTAACACGGAAACTATAGTGCCGGGTCGTGGAAAATGCCTCCACTAGCTCTGAACTTTGGGCATTGGAAACCATTTTGTTGGATGCAAATTAGGCGGAGGTTAGAGAAAAAGTTCTCTGAGGATTGTTCACCAAAATGGTTGTCACAGGTTATTTCAGTTTATAACTTTCAGAAAGAGCCGAATTGTTATTGAGTCTTGATGCCGCTCTCATAAAGTTGACAAACTTTTAACATATTTTTCGTTTTATAAAATTCTTTGAAAGGTCGTCGTTAAGCATTTTAATTTGAGTTACTTAAAAGTTGTGCGGATAATGAAAATTGGGCATTGAGAAATTTAAAAGTGACTTTGCATTATACAGTTGGAAGCATTTAAGTTTGACTAATTTGAGTACTTTGCTAACATAAATGAGAAATCAAATATATATAAGTAATATAAACTTAAACTACTTAAAGGACAAACTATATACTAAAGAAAACACTTCTATTTGGAAATTCATTCAAGCAGAATTTAAGAAAAGTAGTGTTGTTAAAACTTTTACAATTTCAGAAAAAGTTTCCTAGAGTTAGTTTCAACAAAAATGAAACTGCTCCCAACGAATATTCTTTTTCTATTGTCAGCCAAATCCTTAAAAACAATACAAAACAGTTGTTTAAAGAAGACCACTGGCATCTAGTAAAATCCCCATATACATATGTACATAGGAACCCATCCGAAAAGCTATGTACTATTAAAGAATCATTATTCAAATCGAACTCAAGTTGTTATTTTGGTATATCTTCTTCTAAACAATAACCATATATAATTTATGACAATCCAGAGAAACATAGCAATTAAATTTCTGGGATTTTTGACCAGACAAGTATCTGAATAAAATGCGTTAGCAATAACTCAACCCCAAGCTGAATTCCCCAAACCGACCAGAGTACAGCAGCAATTTTCGCAATCAATCTGCCAATCCATGGCAGACGTATTCCATTTGCAAATGGCAAATAGCTTTTTAGACTTTTCCGGCTTTTCACACAGCGAAAAGCCAAAGTCACAGTTGGCGCAGTTCTCACGCTTCATTTGACAGCACAGGTAAAAAAAGCTGCTGGCTAAGCAATTTTTTGCCAATCAGTCAAGGTTGCGACCACCCACACATCAATGGTGGTGGCGAAAGGCAGTAAGCAAATAGTCCTTTGGCTTAAACGCTTCGAAGAACAAACTTTCTGCATCCGCTGCCTCGTAAAACTGTTTGAGTTTTATAGTGGAGTCTGCGAGTCGTCTGCGTTCAAGTTTCAATCGAATGAATGATTGCAATGGCAGTCGGCGGGAGAAAACTAATGCTTACGACTCTAGAATCACCATTGGGGAATTAATTTAACTGGCGGACAGGTGGCAATGGCTCATAAAATCGAGGCAATTTCTTATGTTCTTCAGACAACACATTGCTCGAAATGAACTGAATTTTAATGCCTTGAGCAGAGGAAAAGAAATGGTCTATAAAACAAGTGGGTGCAACAAAAACATGGGTAACAAATATTAAGCAAACACCTTGTTTCGGTTCTAAGTAAAAATCTTAATCTTGGGGCTATATACTTTATTAGTTTTATTCAAAGTTTAATATTTCAGATAAAGGCTATAAATTGATTATTTTAGAATGTTAGAAAAACACTCTATTAATTAACTCAAAAACTTATAAATTGAGTAACAAAGTTTTCTACATAATTCATTAAATTATAATAAGCAAATTTATTTAAATTGATTCAAAACCTAAAGACTTAGTAAATGCTTTGGTGCAACTACAGAAGAAATTTAAAAGCTGTTGCGTTTCTTATATCTTTAAATCCTGTCAACGGTTTAAAGCATAACAAAAAAATAAATAATTTATAGCCAGGAATTGCAATTAAGCTTGACTAAATAACATACATTTTTAAAATAGGAAAACATTTTCGTATTCCCATTTAAAATGATTTATGTCTTCTTGAATTTATGGCATACACTGTATTTTAGTGGCCTTGACTTTAACCATTTTGTTTTACGCATATATCCTTCGCAGGGGCAAGGACAGCTACAGCTACCAGCACAATTACGTGGATCGGGTGCGTTTAGAGGACACCACCGGCGGGCAACACCACAGCAACCACCAGCAAGCCACCCATGATCCGAGGTGTCTACAGTTGAGGGCCGCTGGCTGGAGGCATACCCACAAGTCCGTTTCGCATCTCGACTTGGCCACCAGCTGTCATGAAGCAGCTGGAACTGGCTTAGGTCGCCACTCGCAGCAGCTGCTCCACAACCACAGCCAGGCGAATCAGCACCACCAGCAGCAGCAGAACCACCACCATCTGAGCTCTCACTCGCACTCGCACTCGCACTCCCACCACCCACACGCCCAGCCCCACTGGACGCAGTGCCGGGTGGGCGTGGCCGGAAGCGGAAACGGGCAGCTGAGAAACGCCCGATCGCTGGACTACACGCAACTCGAGCGGGAGGAGAACGCCTTGGACATCGCCGAGTTCTACTGGCGGTTCGATGCGGAAGGTCCGCTAGACCAAGTCGAAAGCTACGCGGGTGAGTGGCGGCCTTCGGGCGGATTGGAACCACTCGGCCATGTCGTATTGGAATTATTGTAAATCCATCCCACATCATAAAGATATCAGTTTAAGTGTCCCAGAAATAATTGAATTGTTTTGCTAATTAACATGACAATGTGCATTTCATATGATGCTGTCAACTTAATTTTCAATTATACCCGTCATATTTTGATCAGGTTTACTATCAACATAGAGGCTGGCTGGGCTGGTGGTGTGGATGGACTTAGTGGATTGGTGTGTGTTTTGAGTTTTTATTCTTTATTATAGTTTTTCAAGGATAAAATTGTATATAGTTAAAGCATTATCGGTTTCAAAACACAAATAGCTACATACACATATCAGACTCAGCAGAAAAAAATATTTTTAAATCAAGAAATCGAATTGTAGGAATGAAGATTAAATCGTATTAAAAGACAACAGATAGGTGCTAATCTCAAATCATTAAGGAAAGGCACAAAAAAGAATTGCGGTTAAAAATAAAATAACATTGAGTAAATAAGTAAGTTTCAAGTTCTCCAGGAAAATAATTAACAGCAATCAGCTTATCTGATAGGAATATTTACTTAATGATACAATTTTTAATAGTATTACCAATTTCTCGGTATTTCCCTTTAGTACTTCCAATAAAAGACAACTTTAAGCCCTCGTCAGCGGCTCCAAAGGCTGTGGGATCAGGAGAGGCAACCACAAACAGCACCACCACAATCTCCGGAAAAGTAAATGGTGGTGCAACAGCCACCGTAACCACTGCTGCTGCAAACGCACTGCTCGACATTTTGGGCAGCGAGTCGTGCAGCTTGAGGAGATCGCGCAGTTTGGCAGTAATACGTGAGGAGACGTTTAGCGACCTGCAAATTGGATCGGCAAACAGCAGTCGTCGTCGATCGCAGCTAATACCGCGTGCCCGGCTCGTTAATCGCGGATTTTTCCGTGAATCGCCACGGTAAGTGAGTCACAAACACTGCACTACACAAATAAAACTCATAAAAAGTTAGAGATTATTATGCGGTTCTAACGAAAATGTAGCGTTTTAGATCATAAAATCATAAATAGGCTTAATAAAAATATATTTTAGTAAGATTTCAATTTTTTTAATAATTTATTTAAGATTTTTTTTTAATTTTGGCTCAATTAGGTTTTATTAAAAGTTCGGCAGCTTATTTTCTTATACGCAGAGAAAATTACCTAACGCAAAAACAAGGTCAAAATATTTTAAAAAGGGAAGGAGAATGGTCCAGAAAAATTTAATTTGACCTACTCTTTTTTAATGTTTTTTAAAAGTTTTTGAAGAGTAGTTAAACTACTTTTCAGTTAAATATTCTTTAAGCAGAACTGCTACCGACTAGAGAAGGCATTGTTTTGCTCTCGAGTGTTTAAAGCCCGGCCATTACGTATACGCCGCATAAACACCGGCCAATTCGAGCTGACTCTGGTCGTGTCAGTCGTTGTGCGACGCTCGCCGCAAACTCAACAGGTCTCGGAACAATTTTCAGTTTAAACAATCCACGAGCCTCCGGCCAAATTGCTGCGGTTGGTTTGTTGTAGCTGTTTCATTTTCCGTTTGTGATAGTGGTGGTTTTGGTGGTTCGCGTCGAGTTTTTTTGAATCTGTCGGCCGGTCAGGGTCATTATCCGATGTCATTGTTGCATTAAGCGCTGCCACATAACCTGTGTGGCACTGACTGCGGTTGGTCGATTAAACCTAACCCTGATTGGTGACAACTGCAAAGTCCAAACGATCGAACAGTTAAGCGGGTTACATAAGAACATTTCATTTTTATGAGCGGTTAAGGTTTAGTGCGGAGTGGTGTTTTTCAGTTGGTATTTTTTCCTTGTTATTTCTCGTTCAGTTGTTTAATTAAAATTGCGAAAAGTTTGTTGTTTGTCAATTGTTTGGGCAGCTGCAGCTTTATGAGTCGAATGAGTCTAGGGGAATGTGACAGTGAGCTGGAAAAGCTTTTAGATATATGTATGCTACTCGTTCTGCCATTAACACACACGTTATCCTGCACATCCCGACAATGCCAACTGCAGTTGTCGGTTGACGTTGCCATGGCTCTCGGAATCGCATCCTTCCTGCACCGTCGCACTCTGTCCTCGGTTTTTATTTAATTTGCCGCAAATCGTCGCGTCAAGTGGCTGGGTAAACTATCAACCTCCCCGCTCAAGTGCATCGTGCAGTTGAAACGGATCCGGTCCAAAGGGGAAAATGCCAAGCCAGCCAACTCAACTTTGACGCGGGATAATAGAGGCTTTTAGTCAGAGCTCTCTATTAGAAGGTCTTTAGACTCCGATAGTGAAATATAAGCTCGTATGAGATCAATAATAATAATTAAATCGTAAATGAAATCTAACCTTTATTTTACAGTTTATTATAGCAATTTTAAGAACAGCAATTGGGAAATGTAATAACTGTAATAATGATAAAAGAGATTTATTACAAAATAGTGTGTTTGTTGAGGTTAATTAAGATACAAATCTGAACCCGATATCTTGCAGATCTACGTTAAATCCTCTCAATCAGAGTGTAAATTAAAAAAGCAATTAAGCTTTAAACCCAATTTAAATGAAAGCAATAATAGTTAGAATGGCTAGTACTCGTAATTGCAATGCAAAAATGGCAAAAACCCTTATTTTTTTATATTTGAGCTAAAAATAGAGAAGCTAGATTGCAATTATTTTATTGCCATTTCACTAAAGTTGTTTTATTGATTTCAAATTGAAATAGTTGTTAGCCTAAGTTTCGATTTCTAGATTTCTTTATTCAATCATCAAGGTTATTCAAAACATTCAAAACATTCGCAAGCTAATATTAACTATAATTTGACAAGCCATTTAAACGTTTTTCATGTTACCCCTGCAGCATTCTCTATTGGACCCAGCCTTCGTCACCAATTTGACACATTTAATTTCATGTTTACTTCCCCAACTCTATAAATCACCTGTCGCAAGATTTCTTTTTTTGCTGCAGTTGAATGCCCATTTGAATGACAAACAAGAACCCACTTTTGACTGCCTGACATTCTCAGTTTGGTTTCTGTTTGTTTATTCGATTTGTGTGAATTGATTGATTGAGACATCACATGACTGAAAGTTTTGCAATTGAGGTTCTTTGAACGAGGCCAGCAAAGTGGGAGATGTGCAGGCAGTCATCATTCCATTAGATGTAATTTAGTTATGATAGGCCAAATGCAAAACAATGGCATCATTAACGAGCCCATCCTCCCGTTTCGATTCTCCCACCCACAGATTGAACGGCAAACCGAATCAGACGGCCTTGGTGGGTGAGCAGCCAGCGGATCAGTCGACGGATGACGCCCAGAGCCAGAGAAGCAACTCGGGCACTTGCGATTCGCATCAGCAGCAGCAGAAGCAGCTACAACAGCAGCAACAGCAGCAACATCAACAGCAACAGCAACATCAGCGTCTTAACCGAGAATCGCGTGACTTTGATGTCTACTACGATAATCTGAAACGCTTGGACGCCTTGGCTTTGGGTCTGAGTGAACAACTGCATCCTTGGCACAACGACAAGAGCGACTTGGAGAGCTTGAATTCAGATTATTTCAAGAACTCATTGCATCAAAATCACTTGGATCAACAGCAACCATCTTCCTTGGAATTTGACGCCATCGAGCAAGTGGCAGTTAGTTTGCTTAAGGAAAGACCCAGGATTTATCAATCCAGGAGGCAACAGCAGCACAGGAATCTTCACCACTCAAACTGCTTACAACGTCACTTGGACACTGGAGGGGAATCCTGTCCAGAGCACAGTCAAAGCAGTGCTTTTCCCGAGACAACCACCAGCAATTCGGATGACCAAACGGATAGTCCTTCGCTTTCGGAGCAGGAATACGATTTAACCCAGATCGAGGAGATCTACCAGCAGGGAAATCACGTGGAGGAGAGCTACGAGTTAATTAGCCTGACGACCACTACAAGGACACGTTTCGAGAGCAGCGAGGAGGGTGAAGAAGAAGAAGGCGAAGAGGAGGTTGTGGAAACTCTGACCACGCCCACAGAGCCACAAACCAGCGATAGTGATAGCACCTTAAGGCAAAATCACAGCGATCCCTTGGACAAACTGATAGCCTACGATTCGGTGTACCTCTCCTCGGAAGACAGTTCGGATTGTACTTTAGTTGGCGAAAGCTGCGAGTCCTTCGAGCAAAGAACTTTCACCAGTTGTGGGGAAAGTGGAGAGTTGGAAACCCGCAGCTTACTACACATTTCCATAGAGGACACGGTTTATGAGCCACAAGCTAAGCAACACAAAAAGGGCGTTCATCAAGAGGATCAACCCCCACCACTATTAACCACAACAGCCAAAGTTGAGGCACAGATCTTCACACAGGTTTTGAAAGTAGAACATACACCAAAACCCAAGATCCTTGCAGTAGTGGAAAAACGTAAACTAAAACAGGAGGAAGTTAAGCAGCAACCGCCGGAACTTAAACGTCAGGCCACCGATTCCTTCATAGTTACTGCCAACAAATCCAATCTCACAGAGAACCAATACCATAGCCTGCCGGATGTTAATATAGGGGTGAGCCTTAAGGTGTGCGAGAATATAGACAAGGAGCTCAGGTCGTCCTACAACCAACAAAGACAGCAGCAACGCAAGGAGGCCAAAAGGGAGCAGCAGGTGACTCGAGCGGAGACCTACGATTCCATTAGACGTTTCGGACGGGCCCATCAAAAAGCCCGGCAAAAGGAATACCAGGAAAGGGAGCGGGAACGCGAAAAGGAGGCATCATCCGCTTTACAGGAAAAGGATAAGGAAAGGGAAAAGGAAAAGCCAAAGATAAACAAGGAAGTTTCAGCTCAGGAGCGGAAAATTGAAGTGAAAGAAACGACAAAGACTCAAGATTTAATCAAGGAGAAAGAGGAAGTAGCCGAGGAAGTAGCAGCGGAAGAAGAGGAGGAGGAACCACTGCCACCACCGCCCCCACCTCTCATAGAGGAATCTCAACCAGAGGACTCTCCGTCGGAAGTGGAGGAGGAGGACAATCTATCCGTATCCATTTCACAACCGGAACAACCCAAGGAGGCGCCCGTCATTGAGGTGGCCAATTTCAGCAGGCTAATCGAGCGAAGGGCCCAGGAAATCCGCGAACGACAGGAGCAAATTAAACCATCCTTTCATATCATTGTCACCGACGCCCAGAATAATATCATCCAAAAGGAGGCCATTCAGGACAACAAGGAAACCAGACAGAGGATTAACCCCAATTCCAATTCCAGCACGAAAACAAACTCAAATTCAAACTCAACTTGTAATCCCATTCAACGCCCCCTCCGTCGCTCAGTGAGTTCGTCGAGTGGCAAACCGCTGGAACATCGCATCCTCAGCACCGGTGCTCCCATTTACAAGGCCCGACCTGTCAAGGTTTTGCCCTCCTCCAGCAGCGATTCGAGCTTCTCCCGAGGCAAAATGTCACGACCACAAATACTGCATGTTGTGGATGGCCGGGGAGGAGTTGCGTCGGGCGGAGGAGCAGGTGGCACGCTGCGAAGGAGGAGCAGTGCCAGGAGCATAGCCAGCACAATTAGCTCAACAGGAGGCGAGGTGGCTAATGAATATCTGCAAAAAGTGGACGCAGTCAGATGCTATTGGAACAAGCTGGCGGGCAATGAACCAGAAACACGGAAAACAGAACAGCCTGCAACCGAAACCCAGCCAGGCATACACTTCCAGTTGGGTGGAGAAACTACAACACATTCTCCGGATAAATCCTCAGTTGCCAATGATTTCTGCAGCATGATGCCACATCCATCCATAGAAATTGTGGAACTGGGTGAGGGCGCTCAAAAAGCAACCATTGTCAAGGCTGCTCTGGAACAGGATGAGGATCCAGATGAAGATCAGGATCAGTTCGATCATATAAGATATAAAGTCCTGAAATCTCAGCAACTGATACGCAACAATTTCCTGTCTACAAGAAACAAAAAAGAGGCCCAGTTCGATGGGTTGATTCAGTACCTGCAGGAGTATAGTTTCCAGGAGTTGCTGAGCAATAATAATGTGGTCATTGTAGAGCCTGTGAGGACTAAGATCGAACGACCTTTACAGGTGGGGATTAATAGTGGTGCCACTACTACGACTGTTCCACCTCCGAAACCTCCAAGAGTAGTAAATGCCACGGGCTCTCAGCCTCGGAAAACTAAGCAAAGACAAACTGGAGGAGCTGCGGCGAAAAGACATTTTTTCTACCAACCTGTGAGGGTAAATAGAGAGCTCTACGAAGATGAACTACCAGATCCCGATACAGTTCGCAATGTTCGTCGCTTTTTCGAGCAGAATGTCCTGCCAACTCCTGGTCAGGGTTTGCTAGTGCAATCCCAGCAAAAGTTTGGTGGCTCTGCCTGTCAATTGAGTCCCAAATCCAGAAGAGCTAGGGGTTACCGATACCTAACCATCGATACTAGCTTCGGGGGAGCCGGAGAGGAGCAGCCCAAGGGGATGGATCTGCTCGAGGAGCACAAGGCCAAGCACTGGGACAATGCCAGTTTATCGAGTGGTATTTCCAGTGGTGATTTGAGTTCGCCCTGCGGGGAGTATCATCACCAGGAATCACCGGTAATGGCCTGCAAGGATGTCCATGTTCAGGATGTTGTTAGAAGACACAATAGCAATGCTGCCAATGCGAAAGCTCGAGCTAAATTTGCCAGCCGACGCACCTGGTGCATGGGAACAGGTCCTGGAGGAATGGGGGCAAATGAATCCCTTTATCGGCAAATTTATGAAAATAATTTGGGACATTCCGAGCAGCAGGAGAATAGCGAACATCTGGAGGAAGAGGACGATGAGCAGGATGACCAGTACGAGGACGATGTGGAGCAGGATATTTGCGAGAACTATTACGTCAGCAATGTGAGTACACAGAAAAATAAACATAGAGGCTAAAGAATAATAATTACTGTTTATTCTTGTCTTTTTAAGACATCTTTGATTATATTTATGATAATTACAGTTTTTGATTGATACATAGTAGTCTTAAAATAGGCTATTAACAAGTCTACTTTAACTTTATTAACCAAAAACACAGTAATAAGGCAAATATATTTTTTAAAAAGTTTGGTTTTTATTAAACTTATTAAAGACAATTTTAATGGACTTTAAACTTATTAAAATTGTAACATAAATATCTTTTATAAAATTTTATCATAGTTTACATGTAGTAAAAATAATTTTTTGAATGCGTAAGCCTAAATATATTTTTTTAAATGTACTGCCTTTGGGTGCGGCCCTTTTGCGTGTGGCTTTATGGACCATTAGGCTTTGATGGGAGTCCGTCGACTAATCTTTTCCCCTTTTTTCTTTAGGACGTGCTGGCCAAGATAAGGGAGTGCGGCTCAACTGTCACCTATTACGGAGGCCGGGTTCTGGACAAGACCGCAACCAGCACCACAGCCCCGCCCACAAAAACCACTCAGCCAATGACGGGGAGTGGCACCCGCTCCCGAGTTCGTCAAATAGAGGCCTGCAATGTGTGCCTGCCGAGCGAAAGATGCGAACATCGATTGCAATCCAAACAAACGGCAGCAGAACAGCAGCAGGACTCATATCAAGGTGGGTAAATTGTCCTTACCATAACCAAAGCCATTCTCAAAATTGCCTTATACATCCAGAAAAAAATATTTCGAAGTGACTTATAAAATAAAAGAAAAGTATGAACATGCGTATTAACTTAAATAAATATTATTTTATATTTAACTTGTTATATTTAAAAAACCGTACTATGTTTCAGAATATCAGTACTAAATATAATTTATAAATGTTCCTATTAAATAAAAACGAATGCCAGTTACAAAGTTTATAACATAATCTTTAAACATCCCCACAGAACATTTCACAAACATCTTTTATTCATCACGTAAACATTTTCATAACTTTATCCCATTACATACACGATAAACATAAAACCATAAACAGCAATGCCAGTATTAAAGTAAAATGATTATTGTTTTTCCCTGTGCAGGCATCAAATTTAAGCTGGTCAAGTCCAATAGCTGCAGCAGTCGGCTCGAGTTGGCCGGAACGAGTGAAGATGAGGTCACCGCCGACAGCGAAGTAGTTCGAAAAATGGTACATCACTTCGAGGCGAATCAGACAACCACGGGCAATGATGGCCAACTGCTGACCATCAACAGCCAGAGTCAGATAACGTTGGCCAAGGAGCCGGAGGAGCTCCAGCGACGCCAAGTGACAGTAAATAATCACATCAATGTGCTCGGGGACATGCCCGAAGAGCTCGAGAAGGCTGAAAACTTTAATGTTCAGCCGGAAAATGGTTATGGTGGGGATATCTTGCCCACATACGAAACTCAAGCCATGAACATACGCCTCGATGTGACTGAAGGCAAGAACATCCTGCAAGCTGCTGCCAGCAAAGTTTGTCGCAATAAAAACGTTGACTTGGCCTACACGTTGGTCAAGACAACGCCAAATCCTCCCAAGGGCAAGCCCATCGAAGCTCCGCGCCAGAAAATTGGAAAACAACAGCGCGAAGTGGAGGAAAATTGCGAAATAACTGCCGTGACAAAGGCTGTCAAACCGGCGAAGCCCTCACCACAAATCATAGTGCCTGCGGATATACACAGTCAGGCCTCGATAGCTGCAACCGGTCCGATACCCGAACGCCGATTGAGCAATGCCAGCAGTAGTAACTCTGTTGTGGACAAAACCGTGGTCCGTCACTATGTGGCCAATGATAAAAGCATCTATGAGCGGCGCAAATACGATGAGATTGAGTTCGAGGAGTTTGAGGTCTACGATCCCAGCAAAGAACCACCTCAAGTGGAGGAAAGTCCGGAGAAAATTCCCACAGATGCAGAGCTCTATGACAGCTTGGATGACAAAATGTGAACGAAAACTAATGCTCAATACACCTTACGAAAACAGCAACGACGACTTCTTGGGGTTTTGGGTTAAAGCGTAAATCGTATACATCCACATCGGTAGCCTAGCTTAGCTTTACAGGTAAAGCCAAAAGATTATACCATAAATTATCCAAAGTATAATATATTATTATTTAAATTTAATTTGCAATACAAAATTCTTCACCTGTACATTATAAATTTATGACTAAATAAATATGCAATTTATTTAACGAGCTGTGACAGCTGTCGACCAATTATTTATTATACATTCAATTTACCGAAGGCAATGGGCAGCCCTCTCTGCCTTATTACTAAAACTATCTGTCACCTTTCTGTGTGCAGATAAACGGGAGACCACAGCAGCCACTAATTGGTCAAACTAATCTTAAATTAACAGATAATTGATTGGCAATTATAGTTTAAAGCACACACCTAATGGCGGCCATAAAATAATTAGAAAGGGGAGAGGAATTTCGTTGCTTATTCAATTATTATTACATTTTAAGCAATTAAAGTATGCTTTTGCAATGATTTGCCAATTAAGATATTATATGTTGTTGGCAAGATATTATTATTATGCAGTATTTATCAGATTATGATTCGAATCTTTCAAAAATAAATGTCTTACCATTGCCAGTTTTCTTTTTAGTTTTCTTCCTATTTAGTAACAATTTCTTCTTTCTTTTTCTTTTCTTGAATGGATTCAGTTTACCTTAGGATGGTAAAATGTTTTAAAATATAATTTTAATTGAAAACAAACTTACATAATTCTCTTTTGGAGTGAGCTATCTCTTTATCATGAGCCCTTATTAATAAATTATCTTTAATTTTTCGTCGGTGTTTAACTTTTTGTGTTCTTTTCGCCAATTTTTTTGTTTTGTTTACGACACTTAAATCTTGCTCTAGGTTTTTTTTACTTTTGGCTTGAGATTTTTCTCTTAAGCTTTTAAATTTTTGAATTCTTGCTGTTAAATTGGAAGAGTAATCTGACTTTGGAGTAGGTTTTTCCTTGCTTACATCTGTTTCAGCTAGTTCTTGCTCTTTACTGGAATTACTATCTTCGCCAGGGGGTGAAAACTCTTTAGATGTTAAGGCGCTTTTTTTGTTCTTAAACACATATGGATTGGTTTTCGATTTATTTTCTTTCGCTCTTCGATAAGCTTCAGCTTGCTCATTCACATGCTGACTTGAACTGTGACCTGCGATTAGAATGATTGATAAGCTTACACTTAGACCCTCCCACAAGGTTGTCAAATCCAATCAGTTATTCGCATTAAAGGAAAATATTTACGAAATATTCGCAAGGTAAATATCTTCCCGATTTCCCAGATTCCCACTCACCTCCCGTCGTCGGTTTTTTATGCTTGTCCGACTTCTTGCCGCCGCTCGTCTCGTCATCCTCCGCCGTGGATGCGAAGCTTCTGTGCTGCTGGAGCTCATGACCTGGCCGTAAATGCTGTAGAAAGAAGGAGAATATTTGCAAATTAACATTAATGACTCTATTTCGCATTATTGATTGTGGCTTTTATAGCCCAAAGGTCTGGTAAAAAGTACTCAGTGGCAAGATAATGCATATGTGGGGTAAATTATTATAAGCCTACGCCATCTTAACGTATAACCATATCATTACTGTGCGTGTGGGAGTGATTCTAAGGGTGTGTACCTTAGGGTGAACCTTCTCTTAAGGTTAAAAATAATATTGCAGATAAAAACAATTAAATCTTAAATTTATTATTCTCGTATTAAAGAGATTAAATCTATCATAATCATATGCATTTTGGTATTCCAACACAAATACATGAATAGTTAAAAAAAAATTCCAAAGCAAACAACAAACATAATAAGAAATAAAATGTAATGTATTTAGAATTAGTAAAATAAAAAATAATTTTATTGCATTATATTTTGTTTATTGTTTGCCTTAGAATTTTTTTTTCAGAAAATTTCGCTTCAAGTTCATCCCAGCTTACATAGTACATTCCTCAATATACTTAGTAAGTCCCCCATCCCCACCATTCCCATCATTTTAGACTGGCATTCCTTGCATGTTTCAGCCCTACCTAATTAAGTTAAAATGCTCCCTAGTGAAATCACGTGCTCTCCATAACGAACGACAAGGACGCCAGCAAACTGGCACTCAAAACAAAAAAAATAAAAGGAGAGGAAATGGGGAAATGGAAAATGGGATGCGTAAATACAGTTATTGTTAGGACACCCCGATTCTGAGGGAGTTTGTGTGGCTTTAACCCATAACCCGGTCTACGTCTGCCACTTTTCTTTCACAACTTTTTTGTATGTGTCTCAATCTGCCGGCAACGTTGCGTATGAGTAATCACACACGCACACACACAAAGACTCGAGGGAGGACACAAATGGGCAAAGGAAATCGAAACCGTAACCGTTTACCTTGTCATTTTACCAACAAAACCAGTCAGGACTTTAGGGAGGATTTAAAAGTTGAAAAATAGTTGAAATTAAACTTTTAACAAGACAAAACATTCGAACTAAAAATATATAATAACGATTTTTAGTTCGCACTAAAGGTGTACAAAAACAACATACATTTTTAAAAGTTGACATTAGATTAATGTCTCTCTCAAAAAAAATTTTAAATTGGTTTGGGAGTAGGAAAAAGTTGTAAAAATTTAATGTGACCACAAACTTAAAGAGACTTAAAGGTAAAATCATAACGACATATTTAGCTGTACTTAGTCAACAAAGCAAGAAAGGTTTAAAAGGCATTTCAGCTAAACCAAGAAAGATTGTTACAAAGTTAAGCCATGCCTCACAGTTATCTTTAAAGTAATATTTAAATTCAACAACAAGACCCATTAATTATACTTTGAAAATATGAAGTTTAAAATCCATTCCGACATTTTAATTTCCTTTAGTTATTCAAAGTCACAAACAAAAATTTATACAAACCGACCTCGCAGTTTAAGCTTGTGCTTGAAAATATAAAATAACATTGCATAATTTTGGGTGCAGCTGTCAATGTGTGTGTGTTTGTATGGGAGAGCATAAAGATATATGCATACGTTTAGATCCGAGCAGGGAATTGCGACTTTTCTCATATGGTATGCACGTGTTGTGCGCCGATTTCAACTTTTACTGATTGGATTTCACGCTCGACTCCAATCAGGCGCTTCAATAATTCAGGCCCTCTCGAACGTGTTTGAAAAATGTAACAAAATCAAATGTTTCCCACGAGTAATTGAAATTTAAATGGAAAATAAATTCCACAGAAACGCCCACGCAGTTCGTAGATCAAATTTTGTTGGCTGCTTTTCCGCAGAAACTTCGGTGATTTGTTGCCGCGCATTATTGATGGACTTGGGGGACAATGACGATGCCATGGAACATTTCTGACAGTTGGTCAGACTTTCTTTCACAGACCGCACACAAATCGAGTTTGGATGATGGGACACTGGCGGAGCTGGAGGGCAGAAGTAAAAGTTATGACCCCCGACGAGCTGTCAGCCAGCATCAAATGTTAAAAAGTTGCCCCACAGGCATTTGCAGTGAAGCAAATGAAACATTAGGCGGCACATAAATTTAACAAACTCCGACAGACACAGAAATCCAAGTTCCGCCCGAGAGTATGCCACTTTCTCGGGGCAAAAGTTTTTACGATCGTCCAAATAAATTGAAATCGTAGCTCAGCTTAGCTCAGCTTTACCCTGAGATGAAAATGAAAATGTAATTTCATAAATTACACCTGCTGTTTTTGCCGGGGTGTGATATATATTGTGAAAGTTGTGACCGCAACTTGAGTCGAATCATGCTAAGTTAATTTGTGCTGTGGGGCAGCTTTAAAAAGTGAAGGGGACAGCAGTATGCAAACATCAACATCCTTGGCCCTTGCCTGCGACATGTTGCAGCAATTGTCTCTTAATGAGCCCGACAATGTGGCCACGTGCGGCGCTCAGCCTAAGCTCAACGAAAAACAAGACGGCACACAGGACTCGCCAGGACAAACATGAAGGCAGGACAAAAAGGCTCTCAGAATAGAGGACAATAAGTGGAGGGTCGGGGCCATAACAATAAACAAAGACGAGCCGAGTGGATGTCTCTGGGTTCCTCAAATCTTTTTCGTCTGGAATTCACCAAAAAAGCCAAAAAAAAAGTCTCCCTACATTAGAGATAAAAATAAAATTTCAGTGGTTCGTGTAATTTGCATAACATTTCCATTTCTCTCAACTTGCAGAGATCGTCTCCTGCATGTTCGAAATTACTTTTCATATTTCAAGGCAGGCTGAACAACTTAAAGAGAAACTTTAAATTGAAATTAAAATTCTTGAGGCATACAATTTTCTTAATCACTAAAGGTATCTTAAAAATGTTCGGTAATATACTACACAATTAAGGATGATAAGGTAAGTTCATTGTTAAGAAATAGAAATCATTATTTTTCAAAACTAGCTTTCATATTAAAACATATTCCAAAAAGTTTTCCCGAGAGAAATGAAATTAGAATGTCGCTTAAAACTACCATAACAACTTAATTTCTTTGAACATTTTGATCTCCTTTTTAGTACTCTGACATGTTAGGCCCATTTCAAGAGTATAAAAACTTTGAGAAATTTCTTTACGCATTTGTAAATTGATTAAAATTGAATTTTAAGGACCCCTCGCAAATAATTTAGCATGTGAAGTTCCCGGTTCAGGAAGTCATGCAAGCTAAAAAGTTGTAAGACAGGAGAAACCCTAGTCAACCACTCCCCTTTCAGCCCTTTGTTCTTGGCCAACAAAGTCGCGTGTCAAGTGCTGCATTGTCGGGCATCTAGCCAAGAATAACATGCCGCGATGCATATTGTTCTTTATGCGTTTGATTGTCTCTGAATGAGCTCGTTAAGTCTAGGCAAACGGAATAATGAATTCCCATCAAAGCAATTTGCCGGAGCTGGTGATATGCAATTGAAGTTTCGCGCACAGACTCTTTTATAGCTCGTAAAAGAAGAGGTCTATCGCAAAGCAATTTATTATTATGAAATTGAGACTGTCGGCAATGAATCATAAAAATAATACGAGTGAGAAAATCACCGAGGAAATTAGATAAATAAAACGACATCAAAGGAGAAAGGCGAAGACAGGATAAACCTTAAGGAAAAATACCCGTAACATCTCAAGCCACTTCGATAAATTTCTATAAATATGTGAAAGAAAAAGCAGAGAGATAACTAATAAATTAGACACATGTTCACAGCAGGCAAGAGATTTTTTGTCGGTTTTATTTTTTCATTGGCAGAGTGAATAGATTTGCCAGAAAAGATTTCTGCAAGTAAATATTTAGCTGAGAAAAAACAGAGCAGAATAGATAAACAAGTTGGGGAGCACAAACATATACTCACACATTGACTATCAAAAATCATCAGATACAGAGAGAGAAATATTGAAGAGACAACCCAGACAGACTAAAATTAGTGTGCGCGCCGCGTACATATTGATAAAAATACGCACATCCTATAGATACAAAGATACACACAGCCCAAACGAAAATAGACAGTTTTTTGTCTCAGAAAGAGTGCCAAACGCTGCCAGAAATTTGTCACAGATCTCATAATTCATAGTTAAAGAAAATTCGGTTAAAAGTAGACATATGCCTGACATTCTAACTGACTTGAATGTGACTGTAAAAACAAGAAAATAAATGTGTCTGAAAGAAGTTTGCTAGGCAATTTCATCTCCCTGTCCCTTAGGAGTTGGCCAAAAATGAGCTTTATATGCCCATTTGTAAGCGTTTTACTTCAGTTTAAATGCATGCTGTCATGTGGGAATTGTCTGGGCCTTCTAGTTAAATTCATTTAAATTGCGTATACGTAATATTACGACAGGCCTCTGGGCTGGTTTGTTTATTCAGCCAATTTTGTTAATGGAAATTCGCCTGAAGTAAATGAAAGAATTTCATTTTATTCATCGATTCCATTAAAAGTGAATTAGCTAAGTGTTGTAAGTAAAAGAAGAAATACATGTCACTCTCACGCAGTTAATTAATAATACACGGGTAAAATGAACTTCGAGTTAATTAAGCTTTAATTATAATTGGAAAAGGTAATAAGGGGGAGTGAAAAATCCCACAAGGATTACACGGTCACATATTTACACCCTCTGCTCTGTGCTACCTTTATTTGCCCCCAAGTTGGCCAAGCGAATTTCAATTACAGATATTCCATATTCAGAGAGTCTGTGGCGTGCCCCCATGTGATGGACTGCCATCAGTAAATAATGCACATGAAAAAGCAATGTACATCGACCAGAATGAAAAGGAGTTTGGAAAAAGCTGCAACAAATTGAGCCACTAAAAGCTCGGTCCATTCAATACAAAGCTCAACAAAACAGGAAACCATAAACTTGTGGGTTAACCACACAATATTTTCTTGCACATCCAGCAATCAGGATCTGAGGAGGCTAGGGTAAACATAAAAACAAACTCAGTAATTGCATTACTCACTCAAA